ATGGTCGAATTCGTTTCATTTTACAATACTTATTTATCTCAATAGTTTGTTTTGGAGACTATGTAATTAATATTCAGGTAACGCATACAAAAACTGACGCGCGTCTTCACCAGCTTTTTAACCAGACCAATGACTGTCAAATCAAATGCCAATATTATCGCAGATGGTAAGCGCCAAAGTTACGTCACAAACTACCAACCATATAAAGGTCTACGCACAACCGTTATCCAAACCATACACGACCATACACGTGTTTGAGACAACACACAACACATCAAACACTTGATCTAACACGCAACATTTATTGATTCACCGTTATTCGTTCGGCTTCCACTCTTGCCTGTCAACCCGACAATGGTACAGTCGGAAGCATAATTAAACCTGTCATATTTATTAAAAATAACTATTATACGAGTAGGTTTTATCACAGCGAGATTATAAAAGGTGATACTGATTACTGAATGCTAATATGAAAATACTTAGAGATTCGTAAAGATAGCCAAAAAACACACAAAAGGAAAAATATTCATTGTAGGATAGAGACAATGAATAAGCTTGCTTTTCATCACAATGTTCCCCAAGGACACATCCTTTAGAGAAAATTGCTGAAACCAAGTAGGTATATTCCTTTTTAATGAGACATTAAGATTTACATAATAAAGTTGGAGCTAAGATACCCAGTTCCTCTGTGGTTGAGGATTTCAGGGTGAAGCTGGCTTCCACCTTTGAACTGTCCACTTTCCATCAAGTAAAATGCACGTTAAGAGTTTCTTCGTTGTGGATAAAAAAAACGTACATAAATGCTATCTCTGGTAAAAATGGGGTACACATAATTGCACATGACTATACAGCAATAAAATCGAGACAAACGATCTCTTTCAATTCGTGCTCCATTGCCTGTCGAATGCAGAACGCCGTTCTGATATTCGATCAAACCAAAGCAGAGAGGTAACGGCCATCCCATAAAATTTTGTCCGACATTATAAAATGTAATACTAAACCACTCACCCTGTATATTAGGTGTAGTTGTTGCAATTCACGAAGGCGAGTAAGCTTTACATGTGTGGTGGCTCGCTACTGTTCATTTTCAAAAGTTTTAATAGAAATTACATGACATGTGTGTATGTACATATGTGTACACATACACACACAAGTAAAGTTCACTCGCCTTCGTGAGTTGCAAGAACTGTACCAGAAAAGCTTAGAATACAATCAATAAATTAAATAATTACTTAAATAATTTGTGAACCCTGCTAAAGGATGCACAGACACAACTCAGAGCTATAATGGCATGATAAGTGGAATCAGTTTGCAATCGACTATTTTGACAAAATCTATCGTGTAACCTATTAACGTGTACTATAATTAGATGAAATTTTACATTTTCATTCAAATACGTTACAATGAAATAATTAGCAACGATGTAATTATGGTAATGGAATGTATTTCATTAATAAAATCCGACAGAGAAGAGCTGGCTGTTCTTCCGGAAATCTATCTTGTAATGTAACTTAAACGTGTACTATAATTAGATGAAATTTTACATTTTCATCCAAATATGTTACAATTAAATAATTAGCAACGATATTATTATGGTAATTGAAGTTTTTTCAATATTAAAAATCGACAGAGAAAAGCTAGCCGTTCTTCCCGAGCTGTGATGCCCAAGCGCAGTCTGAAGTGGGCCAAGTCATTAGTCCGGGCCCTTTACTGGGTCAAATTTAAAACCGAATTGACCGTCGTAATAATTTCTCGGGTGAGATGACAAGGCGATAACTATTGAACTAAATGAGTCTGCTAACAAACAATATCTGAAGAGATTGCTCGAGTATTGCATTTCAAAGAACATAAATTGTGTGTAACAAGGGCTGCAGAACAATAATAAAGATTCAGAGCATAGATAGACGTTATGTCATTTTGCACCAAACCTTTATAGAGTCCCCTCAGATTAGTAATCTGTGCCCTAAAACTTTTTATCGGCCGATAATTTTTTCGGCTTTTAATTTGAGCCCGATACCAAATCGGTGTAAAGTGCGTACTTTCTAACTTGTTCATCATACCAATGAACAGCCCGATTAAGCTATCGGCCGACTAAAGGTAGGTATGCAGTCGGCGGAGACTCCTATTTAAATCTAAAACATGCTCTATAATAAGAACATAATAAACGCTAATAATATAGTAAATGTAAATAGTTATGGAAGAAAATGTCGCTCTATTGAAGAAAATCCTGATAAAACTGCAACCTTTATCAAGGCAAGAATAGATACGAGTAAGTAAAGGTCTAATGTCAAGAATACATAGATGTAAAGGGCTTAATGTACCTATATTACCCTATTTATAATAGATGTTTACCGACCTAATTATACTACATGCTGAAAGTATTATGATCAAAACATTATACATTGTTCTCCAATAATAACTCGCTAAAATTACTAACAACTTTATAAAGCTCACCAGACTCGATTCAGACGTACAGTTTGGGCCAAGGTTCGGTTCCGCCCCGTCTCGCCGGCTCATTACTCCAGACCCTTATCAGGGTCACCGATATCAGACAATCACCTCTCCATTCACATCCTTAAGCCATAATTAATAAAGTCCAAAATGCAACTGGAATAAGTGAGCGAACTGTACTTGCAACGGGACTGCACATCTGCTCTGATTGTAAAAAAAATCTGAAGTTACAGATTGATACAAGGTCAATGAAGCCTTGACTGTTGACTGATAAACATCCGAACGATGACGGTCGATATCGATCATATAAACAGCTATCATTATTATAGGACTATTTACCTAGGTATTACCGAGAAAGTCTATACCTACTAATACGAGAATATTTTTTTGCAGATTACAACACCTACAAGGCACATAAAATATTGTGCATAGTAAAGTAAAACAAAAGTGCTTCGTCTGCCTCTACGCTTGATCTGATTGAGCTTCTTAATTCTTCTTTTACCGTGCCGGTAGACTAACCCATTCACCTGGATAAGTAGGTCACATTTCCAAACACTTCCTTCACATATCGAAGTAATTTAAAAGCAGAAATATTTGTACTTTTCAATACCGTTGACCGCTGACAAGGCGGAGGGCATCGCCGATACTATTAATTGGCCCTAAGGCTCTGCGCAAACGGGCCACCTACCACAGCCACCGTGGCTATCACGCACCTTTTGGTACCGCGCAAATGAAGGGGGTTATTCGATTATCCACATTGACTTGCCTCATTAATGGGGATAAGTGAAATACCCGCCGCCATTAGTAGTCGGTGGTCGGTTTTGTAATAGATTTGCCATGTCAGTCATATCATGGATGACATGTCGCGGACACTGAGTTACAATAAATGGCAGGCACCAGCGGAGTGTCGCGGACATTAAGTTGCGAGTGGACGCCACTTTCTACACGTGTGAGAAGAATCCATAGAAAACGTTTTTTTTTTAAGAATTTGTAAATAAATACATTCATCGACAGGGTTTGTACCAGAGTTCCTCGCATCTCGATTCGGCCAGTCCGACACTATTGACTGATTGTCACCCAGCCACCAGTGGCTGTGGTAGGTGGCTCGTTTGCGGGGAGCCTAACGCTGGTCACTATTTCGGTGAATGCTGTATTAAGGTCAGATTAAATCCGTCAATGATACTAATTTCGCGGTCGCAAATAAGTGGGCGTTAATCTTCGGAAGGTTGTCAATATCCAAAAGCATTTTAAGGAAAATGTGTAGCTTAAAAAAAACTTCTATTAACTTGATAAATTATATGTGATGAACCGTAAAAGTAACGCATTGTAATTTTGACCCCGGAAAGTGAAAAGATTAAGCTGGGTTTTTTCAGTCACCATCTATTGATTTTTAAAAAGGGGCAGATTAAAGTTGTGCATGACTCGAACAGAACACAGAACAGAACTCTATGGGTGAGTTGCACCATCTTACTTTAACTTTGACAAACGTCAAAAATCTGTCAAACTCCATACAAAAACCATCAGTTATCGTTATAGTTACCGTTCAAGTTTGGTGGTGCAACTCAGCCTATGACTTCAAGGATAAGTGAAAAGCCTTAAAAACTTTTTATCAGTACTGTGCTTGTTATGTAGAGGAAATCATAACCGACCATCAATCAGCACAAAAGCACAACAAAATACCCACACTCACTGCAATAACAGCAAGGATGTCAAATAACAAAACGATTGGCATAATGACTGTCACTTTCATACACTCGTCACGGAACTTCAAAAACCCCAGTCACGTCTCATAAACATACAAGCCTTGTTTACAACAAACCGTGGGTGTCTCTTGATAATGTATCGTATGCTAATCATCATCGGATGACGCAGCGATTCCGATTCGATGCGAAAGCGATATCGATATGAATCATCGAGCACAATACATCATTGTTATAGCTATTGGCGCCACGCGTTGTTTGTATCGCAATCTAGGGATGTAATACCGACGTAAGGCTTGTCGATTGATTTATTATATTGTATGCTACGTTGCGCAACAATTAATTAAAACAATTAAACGATTAATTGTCTTACTAATGACGATTTGTGTAAGATTTGCGAAGTTATATCATAACTAATAATGAAAACTATATTATTTTTACTGAAATATTTTTTCAGTATTTCTGCACATAAATTTCGGCCAGTTAATTTGATATTATTACGCGAAAACCGGCTACCGTGTTACACGCTCATGTTAAAGAAATAACGATAAGGTTTTTAATGCCCGTTTTCATTTTCAATCCCTAATTTTTAAGTGACCCTTAAAGGAACATTTGTTATTTAACAGGAATTTTGTTTAAATAGGGGTTACTTAAAAATTAGGGATTGATGGTGAAAACGGGCATAAGTCACTGGTCAGTTTCATGCTTATTTAAAAAAAAGTTTCCTACTCTTTGAGCAGTTTTTTGAGAGGAGCAGTTACAAGCTCTACAACTGCTACATAAGTGGAAAGAAGGTTGGTAGTAAGCATCTCCTGGCCTACATGGAATAACCTAGAGTCCAAAACTGACCTGAACATCTCTCCTCGGCTGCGGCAGCCGCATCACTGTGTGAGGCACTGGAGCCGGCATTCTCATCGGGGGCGGCAGGACGGGCCTGTGCACCGGCGGCGGCGGCGGCAGGGCCGGCCTGGGGCCCTGCACCACCGTTATCGTCGGCACTAGCGGCGGGGGCCTGCGCTCCATGGCCCGCTCTACTATGGCCAGGTGTTCGGAGGGCCGGATCAGACGCGGGGGGGCCGGTAGGTCTAGGGAGGGCCGCGCGGGGCCCGGCGCGTAGGTCCGCGGTCGCGGCTCGGGGGGCCGCGAGGACTGACGAGGCGGGGGCGCTGGCACTCGCCTCCTAGACGCCTCCGATTCATCCGCCATCGGGGCACGCCAATCTGTGGACAAGGAGAGGAAACTTAAGTTTAATTATGTTATATCATCATCATAAAGGTAGCAGGAAAGCGCTGAATGCAGGCCGCTACCAACCGGTCAATATGGAGATCATCGGGAGAGGCCTATGTTCAACAGGACGTCCTACGGCTGAAATAATGATGATGATGAATTAAGTTAAAGCTGAACACTGGAACTCGCTGCCTGCTAGCATCTTTACCCAATTCTACGACCTAGGCCTCTTCAAGGCAAGAGTAAGTAGACCAGTATTTATACAAAGACCAAGACCCATTATTACTTGCTCATGACAAAGACTTATTTACCTACATACTAACCAATTTATTGTCACCGCCAAGGAAATAATGTGAAAATACGACCGTTATACATTTCTTCTATTACCTGCATGGAAAATTTAATAGAGCATGCCTAAACTGGGAGTAAATTACACGGACTTAAATCACAAGAATTTGCATAGTAAAATTATTCCAACTCAGCACACGCCAGATTGAAATGACATGACATGCATTTGACAGCAAAATTATTTTTTTATGAATAAATGTCTATGATTATTGTCTATTTTTACGTATCAGAGGATAACATAACATTCCCACTTATTGAAAAAACATTGAATAATTTCGCCCAGTAAAGTTGTTTTGGTATTAATTGCTTGCATATAATTATTATTCGCTCGTTTGATTTGATTTATAAAACAAACAAGATCAACACAAAGGTAAATGAAGTAAGGCTTACCAGTCACGATTTCTATTACTGCATAAAAATTTTAAAATACATATCTCGTAGAAAATAAATAAGAGCGATAAAGCTTATAAATGCAGTATAACGCCATCTGTTAGCAATCTGCGGAACTCGGTAGGCGGGCAAACGCATGCCGCAACTAGCGGCACGTATGTGCTTTTACGCTTGGTGGCGACACTAGTAACCAAAAAACGAAATAAAAAACTTATTTTTACTCTTTTTTAAAGGATCAAAAGTACCTACCAACTTAAATTAAATATATTTTTAAATAAAAAAATAACAGTAACCTACTTAGTAGTTATCCTTTCGACATTGTTAATAGTATTTTTTTTTAGTCCTGAAAATATTTTGTTGGATTTGGATTTTCTTTTGGAAATTATGTAAATAATTAGATGATTTATATCAGCATCAGTAAACCCTGAGGAAAATGTGGAAATTTTGTAGGAGCTTCGTAACAAAACATCCGAACGAGTATGGGACGCGACGAGTCCAATCAAAATATTATGTAGATTTTAAATGTCAACGGAACGTTTTTGCCGCCAATTAGTGAAACGAATCTCAAGCAAGTTAGTAGAAGCGTTTACATTATCTATTATGCACTCCCGTGCATTTATGGATTACTAGCTTTCCGCCCGCGGCTTCGCCCGCGTGGAATTTTGTCTGTCACAGAAAAACTTTATCGCGCGCGTCCCTGTTTCAAAAACCGGGATAAAAACTATCCTATGTTCTTTCCCGGGACTCAAACTATCTCTATGCCAAATTTCATCAAAATCGGTTGCGAGGTTTAAGCGGGAAAGCGTAACAGACAGACAGACAGACAGACAGACAGACAGACAGAGTTACTTTCGCATTTATAATATTAGTTGGGATGAATAAACCATGACAATATCTCGTTAATAACGGCACTGCACTGTCGTTACATAAATCATACTGCATTTGAATACGGCGTGATATCAATTTTTGATGGCGTATCGATGTAATTCAGTATGGCGAACGTAGCTAAATCACTTACGGTACCGTTGTCGGTTTACTATGTTTAGATTGCATTTAAAATGCATGCTATTCGGTTACTTTGTATGACAATAGAAAATTATCATCATTGTCACATACATCATAGAGTTTTGTCTAAGAATATTTCATGACTCCCATGAATATTTAATAAACGACACATTTTTCAGGTTATTTTATTAGCCTTACCTAGGAACGTAGACAGGGGCGTACTGTGCAAGTGTGCATACATTGTGTCCTCAAAATAAAACAAAAATAGAAACTCAAAAAGTTTTTAATTGCCACGTGCAAAAATAAACGATTAGAAAAAAAATGCTTATTTTGAATATCGAATCACTCTCAAGCCTTCCCACTTAACAGCAATAGGTATCTGCTTGTGTTTAAAAACCAACAAATAGGTACCTAATAGAGAGATCACTAAGCACAGCCCAGGAACGAGTATCATATCAAGGTGCTGTGTCATGTGGTATTTACTGTCACGTCAGCTTTCTACCTCGCTAGTTACAGCACTGGACAAGCCTGACCGCGACAGACTAGCAGTCTGATACGTAAAGTCAGGGTTGAACTTCATACGCGAGGAAAGGAAGAACGAAAAAGGGAATGGCTTTTAGTTGATTCCACGCTCAAGCCTGGGTTGAACTTAGTACTAGAGGAAGAACAAATAAGGGAACTGATAGGAGCTTACAGAAGATTCTATGTTAGAAATTAAATATTTTCGTGTATCCAACAGCTTTTGCTCCTAGTAGAGATAGCAATTCCAAAATAAATTAAATGGGAATCCATGCTTGCCAAATTTTGTGATAATGTTTTCTAACTAGACATTACCATGACGATTATATTCAAAGTTCAAAAACCCATTTTAGCAAAGTAAGTGAGGTAAGTGTACTTGCTATGTAAATATTAATTTTATCCGTTATTTAAAGGCAGTGATGTCCTCGCATACTAATATAAATCCAACCCTAGTACACCCCTGGTACACTTTAGTAAATATTCCCTTAACCCGTTCGCTGCTAACCGCAATGCTGCATGCGGCCCAGCCCGATCGGCCCGCTGCCCGCAATTAAGGGAACCAACTTCTAATTGTTAAACATACAAATACGGAATGTATGCTTCAATCAACTGTGGTAGAAAAGGGTTGTCAGGGGTGAAAGACCTTGAAACGTTGGCAAATTGTCATTTTAAACCTGAGAATGTTTATTCTCTACTTAAGTGTGAACTGGAGCCTGTTTGCGTTTCTAAAAGTAGACTCATCTAATTCTATGACTCACCTAATTATGTGATAAGTATTTGCTTTAAGGGCAAGGTAAATTGACTTGCTTTAGTAAATCTGGTATAACTCTGAGGTATTTAGGAAAGATTGTGATTAATTGTGCTTGTGCGTGTGCCTATATTCCTCAAATAAAAAAGACCAAAACTCAAGCAATTCTGAAGCGAAAATAGGCTTGGGTTCGTACCGTCGTAGAATCTCAATTTAGAGACCGGGTTTTACCCACGGTTATAACGAAATGAAAAGTGATGACTTAATAAGTAAATGCATCAGAATTTAATGAATGAATGGTCATCCGTTGACAAAAACCACCCAAATAAGTACAAAACCCAAAAAGGTTGGGTACCCCTACACTAGATCCTTTTGGGACCGGTTAAACCGGGTTAGAAAAGTTCCGACGACGGGAATTAATTACGTGCTAATTACCGACGTCCTACTCAAATGCTGGTTCTCGTTCCATTGAAAACTTCAGGGCCGGGGCTTGTCAAGCGTTGAGAAGGATTCCGTTAAGGTTTGGCCCTATTCTAACAATGTAAGAAACTAAGACCCGTTATAAACTTTAATTGTAATGGAACGCGAAAGTTAAAATCTTATATTTAAGAAACTATATCGTGTACGTATCCTATTTGTTGTTTGGAAAAAAACTTGCCACTAAAAAAAGAATGCAGATTTTCCTAATCAAACTAACCTTGGTAGAAAGTTTTAGTATATACATTTAAGTAGGTATACAACATTATTACAACATACAGAAAGGAAGTACTTACTAGTAAATTACGCAAAGTTGTGCAATATGCAGCCGGCTTTATCGTGCATAAAATGTAATAAGAAAAAGATAATTTCTTAACCTTAATTAAAATGAACCCCTGACATTATTCGAAATAACAAAGACTGTTTACACGCAAGGACCTTTTCAAAGGCACAAAAGTTTTAACGGCACACAACAAAGTAAGTTTAAAGTGTACCTACCAGAACCAGGTAAATAAACCTTGAGGAGTTCAATCACAAAGGCTTTGTGCTCCACCTCATCTGTTTACTACTGACACTCAATCTGTCGATAAACCTGATTTACACTAACCGACTTTGTTGAACGAACAAAAGAATGGAGGTGCAATATTCGTCATTGCTATGACAACACTGTGTACGCCGTTTTTCCCTCCAAAACGCGCGCATGCGCTGTGCAAAGATGCAAAAGCGCACGCTGACATAGCTTTAATTCCCTCTTGCATAAGTCGCTCGCAAAAGCAAAGGATTTGAATGAATGAAAAAAGCGGCTCTCGAGAATTTGACGACCAAAGTAAATTAAACTTTACTGAATCGTCATAAAAGCTTTTTTTGAAAGCTTGGTAAAGTCGCGTGTCTTGCCCCACGCAAGAAGTGACGATAGCCCGCAGTAGCAATTTTCCTATTGCTATTAAATATACGGTAGCGTAGGTTTGTAGGGGTGATTGTACGGGGAAATGCGTTTCATTTTCTTAACAAAATGCCTTTTATTGATTTTTTTAAAAGTCATGCAGATTTTATGACCCGCTCCGATTGCGGGAATTGATATTAATTTTGTATTCCAATTTGGTTTTTGATAAATAATTTACAGGTTATGTTTGCTTTATTTTCATTTGCTTTTTATTTGAAGTTTACTACGAACTTTTCATAGTTCCATTTATAAAATACCTAAATACCTACGATGAAGTTAAGTGGAATAATTAACAAATTAGTAAGCAACAGCCCAAAGTAATCTGCTTAAGTTAAAAATGCCATCATCTTGTACACCGCTCCTGTTTTTTAAGATAAAGGGACATCAAAGTATTCCCTGCGGTGGAATCTTTTCTATGCATTTTAATAACTTTAAATCACGAGGGGTGGCAGTCGGAAGTTATTTGCTTAAGCTTTGAAAATGGTTTTTTTTGGAGGGCTTTATTATAATGTTACTCCGAATGCTAAGATTCCACGAAGCGTGTTTTGAGAGATAATGAGCCA